CTCTCTGAGGACCAACTGCTCTTCAGTGATGGGGAGTGGCCAGGGGTCAGTCTTTCAGCTTTTGCATTCCGTGGTAAAATGAAATTTCACTAGGACTATTTCTAGAGTATTTAAATGTGATAATGTATAAGTTATTGTAATATAAATATAAAAACTCCTATAAAAGTAAATGTGCATTTTTATATCACTAAAACGTTATTTCTTAAAGGACTTTAAATAAGGTAAAACAGGATTTCCCCCCCTTAAAATAAAAGAAAAAAAGAACGAGAGAAAAAGGAGTGAGGAACTAGAGGAAGAGAGGAAGAAAAGAAATGAGGGGTTCTGGGTTTATATAGGTACAAAAAGGACAGGAGTAATTTTTCCACCGATTTAACACTGTTGGTTCTAGCAGTCATTACTGATTATTAAGATAACCCAAATGAATAAATCTGTATCCATTTCATAGATATGGTCATTTTTCATTTTTAAAGTAATGTTTATTCAATTTATTTAAACTAAAACAAAAACAGAAAAACCCAGTTTACCCATTTTTCCTATCCTCCACTACCCTGTGCCCCTGGTAACCACCAGTCTGTTCTCTGTATCTATGAGCTTGGTTGTTTTGTTTTGTTTTTTACATTCCACATACAAGAGAGATTATATGGCATTTGTCTTTCTCTAACTTATTTCACTTCGCTTAATGCCCTTGAGGTCCATCCCTGTTGCTGCAAATGGAAAGATTTCATTCTTTTTTATGGCTGAATAGTATTCCATTGTGTATAATATTCCATATAAATATACCATAATTTCTTTATCCATTTATTCATCATAGTTAAACACCTCCCAACAACAAATATGTAGAAACATACATAGACGTGTGTGTTAAATTAGTTGCCTGCCCCTCAGGTCAAGGTTTTAATATAAGCAGGTGAGCTTTCTTTACTATAAGTCTGGATGTGATCAGCTGCCTCTGAGCTGAGCCGTGGAGTGAGTCCATCTGAGTGAAAGAGCCCTTCAAGGGCCATTTCTTAGATCACTACTGTCTTGTGGGTTTTGAACATGAACCCCATTGGTTTTCAAATGATGTTTTGGGAGTTCATCTCTCAAGTACATGTCTTAAAGGTTGAGGTGTCCAGTATGGAATTCAAACTCTTTACTACTCAGGGAGCAGCTCTGGGTTTGAGTTCCCCCCGGGTTTGGGTTGCCACACCTGGGGTGGTGTCCCAGCCTCTCCTACACACTTTGATTTGGTTTTCTTCTTTGCCTGATGTGTAATCATCACTCAGCCAGGCTTTAGGTTTTTTTTTAAATAGGAACTTGTTCCATATGTAGTGGTAGACTCAGCATGTCTGTGGGAGGAAATGAGTTGAAGATCTTAGAACATAACCATCTTAAAACCAGAACCCCACTATGAGTATCATTTTTCATAGTATGGAATGCTCATTTGCCAATGAGTATTTTAAATTTACTCAGATAGGTTTTTTAAGTTAAAATTTCCAATGATATTAAAATTTCCAGACTTATGTTAACTATTTAGAAGACAACATCTTGGATTTGTAGCAGGTAGTTATATACAATGCTCTCTTTGAAACTAAGTGTGCTTATTAATTTTTGTCCAAAGAATCTGTTTTGCACTTATTATAAATGATGGCCTGAACTGTAGGACAACATCAAAATAGCACATATTCTCAATATGAGTTTTACTTTAGTGAATTAAAACTCGGTCTCTGGTGAGGTGGGGACCTGCATGTTCCTAATGAGCATTTTTGAGCATGTTGGAGGCCTTTTCTTCCTTAGGACCCAAGTCTGGTAGGTTCTCCCTAATACTTAAACCTCCTTTCCTAGTCCATGCCTCTAATTATCACACTAAATTTGGTAGTTAGTAAACCCTTATAATAAAGTTTCTTTTGCACTGTAACTAACAGAAACCCATTTCAGGCTGTGTTAAGAACAAAAGGCAAGTTACTGGAAGGACACTGGGATAAGTCATAGACTTCGGTAGCAAGAGATACATACTGACCTCATGAGAGAGTAGAATCAGGAATTGGAAAGCTGCTTCAAACTCTTCGAAAGAGTTCATTATGTCTCATTTCTTATCTCTTCATCTATTATATAACTGCCTCCCTCTACCCCTCAGCTATTGCTTGGAGTGGAGGTATGGCCAATATCAGTGGAGGTCACCGGATTGCTATGTGAAACATTCCAGGTGTTTACCCCTGCAGTTATGTGCTCACATTTCTGTACATCACTGGGCTAGGAGCCTCATGGGGGTAAAGCCTAGGTCTTTTTCATCTTGTATTCCTGGCATGTAGCATACAGCAATGAATATTTGTCTAATGAACAAATTTATGAAAGAGCAGGACTCTTGTCTCAGCTTAGCTTGAGAACCAAGAACATAAATATATGCCACTAATTTGGTATATTATTTGTGTTCCAAGAAGTCAAAGGGGAATCAAAAGTAAGAAAAATTAACATTTAAATCAAAAGCACTTATTTCATTTACTAACCTGATTCTAATCAACTCGGAAGTTGATTTGATGAAAATTAGGAGAAATCATGGCAGCAATCAGGCTCTGAACCTAATAAAGCGCCTGTATTAGTCTGGATTCTCCAGAGAAAACCAAATATATATATATCCATGCATGTGTATATGAAATTAATCCTAAATAATCCTATATTAATTCTATATATGATTTATTATAGGAGTTGGCTCATGCAGTTATGAAGGCTGAGAAATTCCAGTATCTGTTGTCAGCAAGCTGGAGACCCAGGAGAGCCAATGGTATAGTTACAGTCTTAGTGAGTCTGAAGGCAGGAGAAGACTGAATTCCCTGCTTCAAGACAGGTAGAGAAAGTGAAGTCTCCCTTACTCCACTTTTTTATTCTATTCAGACCTTCAATGGATTGGATGAGGCACACTCATATTGGGGAAGGTGATATGCTTTACTCAGTGTACTGATACAAATACTAATCTCATTTAGGAACACTGTCAGAGACACAGCCAGAATAATGTTTAACCAAATACCTAGGCACCTTGTGTCCCAGTCAAGTTGACATATATTATCCATCACAGAGTCGCACCCCCTATAAGAGGCAAGAAGTACATAGGCTGGTATTTTGCTAATGAACTGATGTAACTTGGATTTTGTATATTTGCATTTTCAAGCTATGGAATTTGATGAAATACGTGAATTAGTTGATTTTCTAGTTATGTTTGCCTAAATACTCAGGCCCTGGGAGTCACGACCATGTGGCATGAAGTAAGAATTAATTATGTGACATTTTTGATAGGCTTATTCATTACCCTGTACATTTTATTGAGCATCATCTAGGACCAGCAGTAGCTAAGGCTCTAGGTGTATCAGTTAGTTAGATGCAGTCCCTGCTGTCTTGGAGCAGGCCTTCCAGTGAAGAAACACACTGTAGATAGGTAACAAGAAAATAAATGTCTCATACAAAGGTGATATATGTTATGATGAGGGTGAACAGAATGCAGGGAGAGTTAGAAGGGTATGAGGTGATCTCTACAGATGGAACAATATGTACAGTTACTGAGGTGCAAAAAAGTTGGCATGTGGAAGGTATTGAGAAAAATCGAAGCCAGTGTGCTGGAACATGGTACGGAGAAGGGTTGCATAAAATGAAGCAAGAGAGACCAGCAAGAGCCAGATCATGCAGGTCTTTGAAGGAGGTGGATGGATTTGGATTTTGAATCAGTGTGCTAAGACCATTGTGATTGATATGAACATTTGACTACTGTGATTTTTGGTCTGAGAGCATTTGGATGATTAGAGATTGTGGCCTGGCAAATGCTAGTTGTTCTTTCAGGCAAATATTATAATTAAGTCAGAGACATTTTTTTTTTCCTTATGATAATACAGTTCTATATGATCACATATGATATTGGGAAGATAAATCTGTGATACTCAGATTTTCAGGTCACAGTAATATATCATAAATCAGAAAATGAAGCAAACACAAGGTATTTTCAGTTGAAAAGAAGGCAGCATGGATGTACAATCTCCTGTTCTCTCATGAAAACTGTTGGGATATTTTCCACGCCCCTCTGCATTTTCTGCATATCTTATGCGTGAGTCACTAACTGTTTTTTTGTTTTGGAATATCTTTAGGATGCATGTATAGTGAACGGCCTTGAAAGGTAGAAATAGTGTCTCCCTCTTACAAAGGGCAGGTTTACTTACAGCCTTGGAAACTCAGGGTTTCTGTCCTGAAATGAAACCCACTGTGTGTACAAGCATCCATGTGGGCCCAGCTGTATTGCTCTATGAGCAAGGGAAATTGACGCAATATACTGATGCTCATGCTACTTGCTTCTGTGTGAGTAATGGAGTTCTTTGTGTCTGACCCGGAGTCTGTGTCTTCTGCCAGCATCCGTGAAACTGCCAGCTACCTTCTTAGCTTATCAGTTAGTTAAATGTCATACCCTTCACAGTTCTGGACAGGGACCCTTCAGCCATCTGAGCAGGGAAGTGTAATGCCAGGCAGGTGATATCCTAGCACTTTACAGCCTGCAAGTTATCACATTAACATTTTTGTCACTGCTTTTCTCTAAAGTCACAAGATGAGCTATTCTCTGACAACCACATCTTAAGTGTGACTTCTGTTTTAAAATACATCTGTGAAACTTACTAGCTACTAATTATTTTACCTTAAATATTCTTTTTTTTAAAGATTTTATTTATTTATTAGAGAGAAAGCACAAGCAGGGGGAGCGGCAGGCAGAGGGAGAAGCAAGCTCCCGCTGAGCAGGGAGCCTGATGCGGGACTCGATCCCAGGACGCTGGGATCATGACCTGAGCTGAAGGCAGACGCTTAACTATCTGAGTCACCCAGGTGCCCCTACCTTAACTATTCTTAACAAGTGGAAGAAAATGTCAACAACAGAAAGATTGCTATGTTGAAATTTTAGGATGATCAAGTCATAGAATATATTAAAATGAAATTGAAAGTGATTTAAAATTAAAAATTTTGTATACGTTTGTGTGCCTGAAAATATAACTGAAGCATATTTCCGTGGAAGGATTGTTACATGATAAGCACTAAGGAGCTTACACTCTGGTTTGTGTTAACAGAATCATTATTATTGCAGTGCCTGTCTTCACGGGCTTGGTTTCTTACCTTCCCCTGACCAGAAATTTGAGGAGCAATCGATCAGACACGGCTGCCGCTGCCATGGGAGACTATGAGGTATTGCTCTGGCAGCTGGAGGAAATATTTTATATTTGTACTGTCCAGTGCAATGGCCCCTAGCCATGGGTGGTTACTGACCACTTGAGATTTTGGTTAGTTCGAATTGAGATGTACATCAATGTAAATTATATACCATATTTCAGACTTAGAGCAGAAAAAGAAAGTAAAATATCTCATTAATAATTATGTTTGAAATAATATTTAAATATGTTAGGTTAAAGAAAAAAATATTAAAACTAATTTCACCTGTTGGCTTGTACTTCTTTCAGTGTGGCTACTAGAAAATTTTAAATTATATACATAGCTCTCAGTATATTTCTGTTGAACAATGCTATTCTAAATCCTTGCTACTCACAGGACATTCGGCAGGCAAGCAGCATCAGCATCATGTGGAAGCCTGTGAGAAACAGAGAAGCTCTCGCCCCACCCCAGACCTACTGGATCAGAATTTGCATTTTAACAAAATCTCACATGATTTGTATGCATGTTAAAATTTGAGTAGCAGAAAGCTCTAAGACAAGGATTGCCAGATTTAGCAAATAAAAATACAAGATTTCTGGTTAAATTTAATTTCGATAAACAACAAATGATTTTTTAAGTATAGTATGTCTAAATATTGCACGGAATGTACTTATTATTAAAATTATTGCTTTTTTGAAATTCAGATGTTACTGGGTGTCCTGTATTTTATTTGGCAAACCTGCCTAAGACTAAACTCCTCCTTTCCAGACCTGTCTTGCTACCTGAAATTCCACATAATCAGGAAAAAGGCAGAAAGGTAAAAGACATGGTGGGTGGAAGTTGGGTAAAATGAAAGAACAGAGAAGAAAAGGAAATACAATGGGAAGTAGGAATAAAATGGGCATGGAAAGGCAACATTGATAGTGGTGACCTTTTCTATTTTATAATATTTCTTAGCATCTTTCTTTGTTATTTCTCCATCTCCACCCCCTAGCCCCCCCACCCCTATCCCTAGTCATTGCGCTTTCATCACCTCTTCTCATTTAGGGCTCCTTAGAGCTATGTTAGAAGATGGTGTGTGTGCAAAGTGGATAGTAAGGAAGGGGAGTATGTCCTTTGGGTCAAGTCCCTAGACTTCCAATAATCCATCATCTCTGAAATGTCACTTACAAATCGCCCCTTTCAGCTACCAGTACTTTGCCATTAAAGAGATCAAGGTTCTTAAGTACCAAAAATGCTGACACTTTCGTTTTGGAGGATTTTCTTTATTGTGGCATTTTAATTGTATTTTTTAAATGTAAAATAACTCTTCAGGATTTTGTTGTTTGGTTTGTGTTTTTGCACACATTTTAGGTGGCAGGGGAGTGGGAGTGGAGACTGGCAAGGAGGAAATAACAATAGATAGTCTTTATTTAGCTAGGCATTGAAGTAAAAAAAGGTTTTCATCTATTATATTTATTTATTTAAAATTTTATTTTATTGTGTTAAGAACACTTAACATGAGACCCACCCTCTTAACAAATTTTTAAGTGCATAATACCGCATTGTTAACCATAGGTACAATCTTGTACAGCTTATCTCTAGAATTTATTAATCTTGCACAACTGAAATTTTATGCCCATTGATTAGTAACTTCCTATTTTCTCCTCCCTCCCCTGCCCCCCAACCCCTGGTAACCACCATTTCACTCTTTGATTCTATGCTATGCCTATTCTAGATACCTTATATAAATGGAATCATGTGGTATTTAAGGCTGGCTTATTTCAATTATAATAATGTCCTCAGGGTTCATTCATGTCACATATTGCAGAATTTCCTTTTTTAAAGGCTGCATAGTATTCCTTTGTATATATATATCACATATTCTTTATCCATTCATCCATCCGCAGACACTAGGTTGTTTTTCCATCTTGGCTATTGTGAATATCAGTGCTGCAGTGAATATGGAAGCACTAATATTTCTTTGAAATCCTGATATCAAGTATTTTGGGTAATACCCATAAGTGTAATTGCTGGATCATAAGGTAGTTCTATTTTTAATATTTTGAGGCATATCCATATTGTTTTCCCCAGCAACTGTACTATTTTGTATTCCTACCAGCAGTGTACAATCCAGTTTCTCCACATCTTTGCCAACACTTGTCTGTTCACTTTCTTCTTTCCTTCCTTCCTGCCTGCTTTCTTTTTCTTTTCTTTTCTTTTCTTTTATTTATTTATTTATTTGATGGAAAGAGAGAGAGCGAGCACCCATACAAACAGGGGGAGCCGCAGGAGAGGGAGAAGCAGACTCCCGCTGAGCAGGGAGCCCGATGTAGGACTCGATCCCGGGACCCTGGGACCATGACCTGAGCCAAAGGCAGATGCTTAACCGACTGAGCCACCAGGTGCCCCTATATGTCAGTTTTTAATGGCAATACTATACTGTTTAAATTACTGTAGCTTTACAATATATTTTTAAATCAGGAAGTGTGATACTTCCAGCTTTGTTCTTTCTCAAGGCAGATTTGGCTATTTAGGGCCTCGCTATATCTTTGCAACAGTTCTTTGAGCAAAATACTTTTGTCCCCACTCTGCAGATGGGGAAACTAGAGCTGGGAATGCAATTGAGGGCTGTCTGACTCCAAAATCAGTGCTCTTTACCATTACATTCCAGATCTCTTAGCACATGGAGAGTCATGAATTTAACAGGAAACTGTGAAGTAGGACACATAAGTAAAATTAGGTAAGTTTCAGAGATTTTTACTCATTTATTCACCTGAAAAATGCATGTAATAATGTATATTTTGTAGATTTTTGAGGAGAATTTAATAGCTTCCTGAAAAGCAGTATGAGATTCTTATTAAGAGTTAGAGTATCAAAACAATGTTAGTTTCTAAAAAGAGGTTAATTGAAAATCTGCTCCCTAATAATCTTTAATGAATAAGAAACATCCTAAATAGACCCACTGCTTTCACTCTATACTCTAAATTAAGCAGTATCAGGCCCCTCCCTCCACCCTCTCCCATGCATAATATATCCTGGGAATATGGTCTTTTTATTGGTTGACTATGTTGTCAGTCACAAGACATGGAAGATTCTGCCTCTGCTCTGTTTGCATTTAAGAATTAACAGATGTGCTTGCTTTGAAGAAACTGATTTATTTCTTGATGGGAAGAAAAATCTTCTTCAGTTTTTTTCACTTATTTTTTTATGTATAGGATTTTCACTGCCTTTGGGCCAAATACTTGCCAGGAAGAATGTAAGGTGAGTAATTGCATATTTGTTAATTCAGCGCATCTGTGAACTTCAATGCAAGTGTGAAATTAGATGGTTCTGTAATTTCTTTATATTGTTGCATAGCTATATTTATAATTCAAATCGGATATATTAAATTAGATCATTCTGTAGCTAACAAAATCATTGAACTAGAGTTTATAAATAAGACATGAAAATACAATCTTTTATAAGAAGCAAGAGTTATTCAAAATGCACAAGAAACATTTGTATTATGTATCAAAGTATGTATCTATGAGAAAATGACTCAAATCAGTGTTCAGGTTTCTTTTATACTTACAAGTAATATTAATTTCATGGTTTTCTCCTGCCATTGTTATGAGAGAAGAGAGCAAGGAAAAATTTAAAAACCTCAGAAATATATAACCTGTCCTTCAAAGAAAAGGTGTTGAATCATTTTAACTGGTAGGGGACGGTAATTGCTTGGAGTACATACACTTAAAAGTAACAAGCAAAACTTCTATTCCTGTATCCTTTATCTTTGGCTCTTTCCTTAGCATATAAGGGAAACTATAGAGATTTATCTATAAGGGAGAATATTCAGAATCTGAATAGCAATTAACTTATGTTATATCTCCTAATTGCTCATTATGTGCCATCCCAATAAATACATCAGGGAATTTAGTGTGAACACAAAGGATAGCGCCAAGTAGGATGGTCTGCCAAAACTGTGTTAAAGAATCTTTAAGTCACCAGCTGATAAAAACTATAAGTGCAGGCATTTTCTATTTGTTTCCCCCATTGTTTCTAAATCAGTTAGTGCTTTCCTTCAGGTTCATTTTCAAATAGTAAGAGACCTATACTGCTCTTAAGTTATTAAAGCTTAGTAAGGTTTCCTTACTTCATTTGTACAGAGATGACTGATTTGTGTATTACACTGGTAAAATGTACACCAAATACTATAAAAATCCCAGTTATGTTTTTGAAGCAAGGTTAATGGGTTTAAATAATCTCAGCTTCGGAAGGGACCCTAGAAATCACATCAATCAATGATCATTTGAATCTAAAAATATAGCATATTAATTTATTATGAAAGAAACAACAGTTGCTGTTTTATGAATGTCTTTCAAATCATAGATCTGAAATTTAAAATATCTTTCATTTTTATGGGTCAATTCAAGGTTCTTAAGTCTCTAGGAAGGATGATTGTATTTTAAATTAATACTTGTTTCCTAAGCTTAGAGAGAGTAGGGGTCACCACTCTTTCTTTACATATTTCTTCCTCAAATTGGGTTAAAATTCCTTTAACAAAAGGAAATATTTTGCCTCTCACACAGTATCCTGTGTGATCTCTCATTTTCTACTTCCCTTTCAGACTTTGTTCATTCATTAATCTGTTCATTCATTCATGCATGTAGCACATATGTTTTTAATACTTGGTACTTTTAAATAGCTAGGTACTGTGCTAGGTACTGGGTCTACATTGGTGAGCAAAACAGAAATAGTCCCTGCCTTCATGAAGCTTTAAGTCTAGTGGAGGAGGTACTCTCATTAGTCAAATGTGAATCATGCTGTGAAAGAAGTGTGGGAGGCTATGAGCACATATAATAGGCGGATCTGAACTGGTCTGAGATAGCAGGAAGAGTGTTCTTAAGGAAGTGACATTTAAGCTGTAATCTATAGCAAAGGGAGGGAGTACCTAGGAGGAGGGGGAAGGAGAGGATAGAGAACATTCTAGGTGGAGAGAACAGCAAGTGCTAAGACTCTTATGAGAGAAGAAGGGAACATGAAGCATCGAAGGAGCTGAACTAAAGACTGCTGGTGTAGCTAGAACAGACAGGGGAAGAGGACAGATGAGGTGAGCACAGTTAGCAGGTCTTTCAGGGTCTCAGAGGCCATGGTGGGAATGTGGTCTTCCTCCTGCACAGAACCATGGCAGAGCTGTTTCAGCTTCACCTTCATGAAGGCATTACTTTGCAGACTCATGATGGACTACAAAAATATGGGACCAGCCACTACAAGCTTCAGGCTCTTGATTACTTTTCAAAGGTATTGCAGAAATCCCTTTTACTGGACAAGGATCGGAATATTTTTAGAGACAATATAGGTTTTGTTTCTTTATTATTTATTTTAAAAAAATTTAACCAGTGTTTCTCAGTTTATTCACATAGATAACTTCAAACAGTTAATTCTTTACAATCTTACTTTAGTTCAGAGATTATGTAGTGATGTGAAAATGTATATATATATATATATATATTTTTTTTT